CATCTCTTTTATACTACTTTTTCTTTCTTTCTATTGGCTCATTTGCCCCATCTTGCCTTCCTTACACTCATTCTTAAGGAGTCAGAAATAAACCAACTATTTTAGTTTCACTGAAATTTGTCACAGATCGGCAAAGCGCTACAAATATCAGTGGAAATAATGAGGTGGCTTAGTTGATGAAAGTAATTAGTTTATGTGTTATAAGCCGATAATTTTAGCTGAACTTTCCTAATTTTCTATCCAAGTTTGACTTTAATGTTATCGTAGCTCACTAACCCATACCGTTCATCCAAAGCGAGTTAATATTTTAATGTCCCGGGTTTAATCCTGGGGTTGCAATTCTGAGATTTTTTTTTATTTTCGTAATTGTCATTAGGTAACGCAGAAAGACGAAGACAAACATCCTTGCCCCTACTGGGATTCTAACCAAGGTCCTAGATCCACGTCTTAGACCGTGCTGTCACTGAGATTTGTGCAATGTAAAATTTTTATAATTCACGATATGTTCGTAACCGGATTTTTTGTGTTGATAATTTTTCTTTCTAGTCTTAGGATTTTTGTGCGTATCCTGAATATGTTATGTTTTTGAAACGTCAATAGATCGCAATTTCTAATTTTTTTCTTCAAAATTTACGCCATCAGTTTTTAAGCGTACAACTTTGATTAATTTAAAACTTCTACTTGAGGACCACTTCTCTAAATGTTAAATTATGCCTTCAATTGGTACAAACCCGGTGCGCATATAATAAGAAAAAAATATATTTAATATTCTCTTAATCTCATTGTAATTTAATTGTCGTATTATTCACCGAGGTTTGTAATTTAAAAAAAAAGTCTATACTTTTTCTTCAAGGCTACCAATATTTCTGATTTTGCTACTGTCGAATTGTAAACAAGGAGACATGTTAAGTGTCTCAGCTGCGCGCGACAGATAGCACTAATCGAACCTGACATTTCCATTGGTCCCACTCGATATTTTAAAGGTTGCGACGTAAACTTACATCCTTGCTACAGCTTCAGCTATACGCTGTACACCGACTGACGTGCGAGTAACATACTTGGAAGCAAGAGATTTACCTTTTATTATATCAAAATGTGGGATTACAACTTATCTCACTAGAATGTCTGTTTATTTCTCGCAAAAAATGATTAGGTGATAACAGTATAATGAATGTTGGAGCTCGTGAGGTGGAAAAAGTGTCTGTATCAGTTAATATAGGATCCTGATATTCAGAGTCGTAATATGTTTTCGATAAATATGAAATTCTTGTTAGATGGAATTTGTACAAAATGTATATGAAATGGTGTTCAAAAGTGAACAGTTACAGTCTTGGTGGAGGTGCGAAACTTTACTATCTGATAAATTTTACATTCGAGATACGAGGTTCTCAACGCGGCGGTGAAGATGTTGATGGTGGGCTTCTGGTTTGTAATACCTTGTGCTGGTGTTACACGGTGATATAACTCAGAAAATCGACATTGACAAATTATAAAATTTGTATACAATAAGTTCTTCCTAAAAAATAATAACGCTCTAAACTAACGTATTTACAATTGCAAGAAGAATTTAAAATATGAGATTTGAAAATTTATCTACGACTAGATGGCATAAAATCTCGGGTGACCAGCCGTGCCAATTCTTTACAGAGAACCATCAT